CCAGGAGGTCCCACGCTGTTCAGGGGGATGACCTGGCCTCACAAAAAGAAGGGCTGCTTAGGAACCCATCAAAACGACCTCCCCAACCCCATGCCCCAGAAGCCAAGGATACTGTGCCTCCTGATCTGCCCCAGCCCAACCTGGATTGTAGTGTTGGTCATCTAATTGCTGCACGCTTGGTGTCACAATTTAATCTTCATAAGGAATAATGATTTTCCTTTTTAAACCAGAGAATGAGAAATCTTACAGTGGATTGATTAATCCCAGAGCAGGCAGCAGCACTGAGAAGAGCCACACTTGGGCACACTCCCAATGCTCACCCAAGACTTCTCTTAAAAAAAGCTGCTGCTTGCAGGAGATGCTTCTAGCCAGAGACAGAAAGGAGAGATATATATAAAAAACCAAGACTGGAAGTCATGCTAAACTAGTGTTTCTAGACCAGTATTCATCACGAACTATCATGTGCTCTATAGCTTATTAACTAATGTGACTAACACATCACATGCTTCTTTCCCCTCTCTGTCTTTGGGAAAAAAATGTGTGTGCATTTTGTATAGATTTTCCTTTAACAATGCACGTGTGTGTCACTGCATTTTGCTAGAAAAGGCCAGGCTAAAGCCAAGTGCTTTATGCTGAAGATACACTTTCGGGACAGTTCTCAAGAAAATTCTGTTGCAACAATCTCCATCTGGTTAAACTTCTGAAAATTCTGTTGCAAGAACCTCCATCTGGTTAAACTTTTAAAAATTCACCCCCCTACTGAGTCTAGAAGACCAAAAAAGAGTCAGAAAAGATCCACTCCCCATCAATGATGTTTTCTCTTTGTTGCAATGGGAAACCCCATATAGACTGTCTAAACTCCAGAGCTGGTTGGGAGACACGGGGTTGGAAAAAATAGTCCAAGCAGAACGACTTGACAACTAGTCTCCCTTCTCCACTCGTCCTCTGTACGCCCTTACCCTTAAGGTTCAATGGTCCCAATAAGGAAAATGAAACACCTTAGGCAATGATAAAACACACAGGAGAAGACAAGTATCAGGTATTTACACACGAGCAGTGCAGCCCTGCATCAGACACTCTGCCAAAGAGAGATCATTGCCTTCCTTACACCCCCAGGATTCATTGTCTCTTAGCCTGGGAACCTGTCTCTGTTCCCAAACATGGATATTTTTTTTGGCAGCAAGACGGAACAAAAGGCACAAAGAGAACTAAGAAAACCCTTTCAGTGAAGCTGTAGGCTTTTTTTTTTCCCCCTCAGGACGGGAAACCTAAGGATAGCTTCTAACACACCCAATCCTGCTACCTTTCTGGAAGGTGCTCAATGCTTATGGGAACCCAAAGGAATTAGGGTGCTTGCACATTCCAGCCCAGCTTTTGACTTGGAAAAATTTAATCCCTTACCTTTAGCACCAAAAATACCACAACATTTTGAAAATGAAATCACGGTTAGATTTGAGTGGGTGTGTTATTTCGAGACAGCACTAATGTGATTATAAAATCAGTTGTGTCAGCTTATTGGCTCAGCTACAGACACTGATCTGCTTGAGCGTCTGTTCCTCTAACCGGCTGCTCGTGTTGGGGTGCTTTGTCCCTCCTCAGCTCTGCACAGAAAGAGATGAGATCTGATTCCCTCTGTTGTACCACAGAGAAAGAACCCCCTTCGTCTTGCAGTTGCCCACCTTGTCTCCACGAAACTTGGCATTTCCAGAGCACCTCTCGTGCCAAACATGAGCAGAGTCTCTCACGGCCCACAAAAGCCCTTATATATAAATATAAATATATATATTCCTGCAGCCCCAGTCCCACACAACAGCCAAGGGCAAAAGCAGAGTGGCAGCAAACTCCAACCCTGCCAGCCTCACTCTTCAGACTCTCCTCCAAATATTCCTTTGCACTGGAGCTCCCTTTAAACATTTCCTCTCACCTATTACTGCATCCTGGTAGCAAGTATTTGTTTTCCCCTGTGTCTCTGTGGGTGTCTGACAGACACTCGGTGGCTCGCACTGCCAGGCGTGCTTTAATGCTGGGTGGGTGACTCACTGGTATCAGAGGTGTCAGTCCTGGCAAGTTTGACTCAGCCCTTCATCCTTTGGCAGCAGATTGAAATAAAATGCAATTTCCATTGTATCTGTGGCAGCTTCAGATGCAGCCATGCCAATATGGTTTTATATGTATAGGATCTGGAAAGATCCTATAGTTCATTGGCTCCGCTGGCTTGCTGTTCTTTCTCACTTCTGTATCCTGGATCACTCAGCTGCCTCTGTGCGCCTCAAAGACCGTTGAGGTTCACTGCTACCGCAGTCATCCCCAGGCCAGGCAGCTGCCACATTCCCCTTCCTGAAGGTGGAGACTCTGAAGTCCTGCCATTAAAAACCTTCTGTCAAATAGTTGCTTCGCTGCTCATATCAGCAAAAATATCCTAGTTCCCAGTAAAAGGCATTTGAGTAAAATACCATCTACCTGTCTTTCTGTCCTGTGACCAGTCCCATCTCAGCGCAGCATGCGATATCCTCAGGCCAGGCTCCTAACTTTCCATATGGAAACTACATATGGCCGTCTGTCCTGCACAGAGCATGGAAACATGAGGTTTGAACCCAGCGTGAGATGTGTTTGACCACAGCACTGAGCTTACGAGCTACAGAAACTTGACAGGCACTTCATGCAATGGTCAAGATGTTCATTATGGACATCTGCTGATTTCAGCTGAGAGTGAGAACATGTGATTTCTCTTCATGATGTCACATAGACATGTAAGAGAATTTTCACCAGTCTAAAAGTTTAGGAGTTTTTCAGGTAAGAGTTCTGTTCCTTGTAAAAAGGGACAAATATTTAAAGAACTGAAACTCATAAACTGTCCAAATGCACCAATCATTCAGATTGCATTTGAAAGCCTTTTCTGATCTTCTGGTCTTCTAAATCTGGTGTCCAGCCTAACAAGGAGAGGTTAATGCTCTCTCTTTAAACAGACACTAAGACTGTTGAGTGCCAAATCTCAGCTATGGCTTACACTGAATGTTCACCCAGCGGCCGCCTTCCTGCTTATTCCCAGGGGTTTTCATTCAAGAACACAACTTTCTATTTTTGACAATTCATTGGAGTAAAGGGTTGGAAGCCAGGGAACGGAGTCCTGATGCTAAGACTGGTACACGCGCACACACACACACAGATTTTGCATGGACAGGCAGATGTGGAGGTAACCGAATAGGCCTGTCCAAGTCAACTGAGCTTTTAGCATCACAGAACTATAGCTAAGTTGCCGCCAGGACAATCCTAGGTCCAGAAGCAGCACAGCCAGGTTTGCACAAGACTGAGCTCAGTGGGACACAGACCATCCCTGTGTAGCTCCTGCTGAGCAGCACTCTGCAGGTTTTCCACCGCTGCGGTACTCCATTCTCCTTTACCTACAACTGCAGACATGGCCACAGAGAAAACCTGCTCTGAGCCTGCTGTTTGCCGGGGCACGTGGCAAGCCCTGTGTCCTCTGGGTATATGAGTAGAAAGGAACCACTGTTTATGAATGCTGATGAGAAAAATCAATATTTTTTTCTGCGTTTCATTGAACCATTTAGGTTGCAAATTACCTTTAAAGTCATCTAGTCCAACTGCAAACCTTATTTTAATTTAAATGAACATTGGAAGAAGAGGTCCTTAAAACATATTTAAATGCATTCAAACTATTTTCTCCACACCCACCTACAGGACTCAAACCCACTCTACCTAAGCCTGTTATGTCACCAGTTCTCACAGCACCTTCCCAGGGCTCTCAACCAGCTGCAAGACATTTCTGAATCCGCCCTCATTGTCCAGACTCCTTTTATAGTCAGCAGAGAAACCCAGGTACTCCTAGGGCACAATTAATTTTATCCCAGGTTAGTTCCCTCCTTATTGACTATCACCTAGTCTAGACAAGTACTTCAGATGCAGACATCCAAAGCTGCATGAGAAGAAACCTGCACCAGCGTCAAGAAGGATACGCAGAGCCCTTCCCTCCCAAATTCCAGTGCCTTGAAAAATGATTTTGCCAAGTCATTTTATGCCACGTAGCTGTCACTGTGTCACAGCCAGAGGGATGCCCACAGCCTTCAACAGCAGCAGCTCGAGGAAGCAGCTCCCCATGGCGCCCACACCTAATACCGAGCACCCTTGCAAATACACGCAAGGGCTGTTCGCTGTTTTAAAACTGTTCTCTGAAATTACATTACTCTGCACCTACAGCACATCCTCCCTTCGCTGTCACTGGAAAGGTTCCTGGGAGCAATCCCAGCATGGTGTGTGCCCCTGGCACGGGGGCAGCACAGGGAACGGACACACGAGCAGCTCGGCCGCGGGCAGCTCTGCGGTCTGGCTGGCAGAGCCACGTGCCGTCGGGCTGCGGGAGGCACAAACAAGTGGATCAGCAACTTCCAGAATGGGAGAGGATGAGTGATGCATCGTACATCCTTTCAGGACACGTTCCTGGACACCAGCGTAGTGCTCAGGCTGCGCGTATCTCAGGTTTGGCCCTCGGTTGCGACAATCGTACCACGGCCGCACTCAGAGCCCACCCGACTGTGTGCTTCTGCCACCCCAGGCGGGTGAGGGACACTCCTCGGGCACTTGGCTGAATTCACCTACAACCTCCCCACAAAGTGCAGCACTGGCCCTTAAATGAACCCCAAACCTCACCTTAACTCCGATCCTCAGCATTGTAAAAGAAGAGCGGGAAGGAAAACTTAACTATTATTGCCTTGGTAAAGGAGGAGAAAAGGAAAAACATCAAAACAAACAAACAAACAAATTTATTTTGGCAGTTTTCCATGTCAGTGTTCCCATTTCCCTCCCTCATGCACTTTCTGCAGCAGCAATCTGTCCTTTCCCTAAACACGGAGCAATGCCGGCACTAAACTAATCAATATTAATAGCGATGGGCTCGGGCGGGGGGAGGAGAGGAGGGATTACCCTGACCTTTTTCAACTCGCACTGCCTCAGACGGCCACCAAGCAGCTGAGGAGAGAGCAGCCAGACGGTAATGCCATGTGGTTTTAGTAGCTTTCCTTTTTTTAATTTTTTTTTTCCCCTGTGAATATTTGCTTCTGTTGTCTCAGTGCAAATAGCAATAAGATCTGATTGTCTTCAGGAAGGAAAAAATTTAATTTTATCAGCCATTTCCGGGCCAGACCTCGCCTTGATGAGAAACTCCACTTAAAATTAGGGGAATAATGCCCAGGCTGGATTTTAACATGCATTGCTATTAAAAACTGGAATCGGATTAGGGAAGTTTTGACAGGTGAAGTGTTGAATGCTGGTGTGCTTTGTGGATTTCTCTTATAATAGAGTATAATCAAACCCACTGTGACTGCGATATTGAGAGCGAGAGCAAACAAAGGGCTGGGTGAACTGGTCCTCTATTGTTAAGCACAAGTGTCCACAGCAGCTCACCCAGATACGGGGGTACGTATGCACTCAGGACAGAATTAAAGGCAAGTCCTATTAATTAAAACAAAATCATAATTGAAGCTCTTTGTTCATATTGGGTTTGGGGTTTATTGTAGACTTTCTGGCGAGCAGCATTAAAAGGAACCATAGATTACCGGCAGTTAAAGACTTGGCTTTTCTCTACTGACATATTATTGTTTCCATGTGCAAAATATGATTTTTAGAAATTTTGCTTGAGAAACCTAGGTAAAATCTATTTATGCCCTTCCTCTTTTGCTCTGAAAGAGCCAGGCATCAGGGAGAGGTCCCAGGTTGAGGTGTTAAATTTGCACGGGGTTTTTGAATAAACATTTTAATGGTATTTCCACATTTTTTCTTTCAAGCAGAAAATGCTTTGCAGATGGCTGGTATCACAGCACTAGCTAATCAAGCTACGGGTGTGTTTTTTCTTCCTTTGTCAGGACCCATCATGTCCGACAAACCAGATTTTGCAGAAATTGAAACATTTGACAAGACCAAGCTGAAGAAGACAGAAACCAGAGAGAAAAATCCATTGCCCACTAAAGAAAGTAAGTGCTTTTTGTGTCCTTGCTACTCATAGTTCAATCTGTATTGCAGTTCATATGCAAAATGAATACTAATCATAGGATTATAGGCTCAAACTCATCCCTGACTTTAACTGGGGATAATACTAAGATTTGTACTCTGTGTTGGGCTGCCAAGGATACGAGTAGTTAGAACCGGTGGTGCGTTTGCTCTGAAAAACCCTTTCTGATAGGATTGCTTCTGCTAAAAGCAAGATCAGGGGGTTTTTTTCCTGCTGGTTGCAGGTAACAGGATCAAACTGTTATTCCCATGTTAGCAGCCTCTTCGGAGGCACGGATGCACAGGGGAACTCTCATACCTCCCCGCCAGGCTGGGCAACATCCCCTGGAGGTGACTGGGCTCTGGATTTAACACATTATCAGGCAGAGGATCCGATGCCCCTCACTGGTACTTGCTGTCAGCCCTGGCCAGATTGCTCTGGGCACTTTCTCTAGCAGTAGGGCTGCAAGAGAAATTCATCGTCATCCTAGTTTGTCAGGCAATCTTCCTTAGCAAAGCACCCCTGGGCTTTTCTCCCGCAGGATCCTCGCCCATGCATGCGCTGCACACAGGCAGCCAGGTGAGGGTTGTTGTGATTCATGTCCAACTTCGGATGTGAAAATGGCATTTCTCTGCCTTTGGACCAGACATTGCGAGTGTTTTCCCTCAGAAGAGCATCACTAACCATTTTGGGTGGCCGGTACCAATAGCCATGGAAAGTCATTGCCCCTTGGCATAAGACACTTGTTTTTTTTCCTGTTTTCTCATCCCTACCAATGCTAAAGCTGTAAATACAAGAGCAGGTTTGCACATCATGAACTGCACCCCACTGGCTACACAGACATGGGAATAAGTTGGCATTTCTAGGGTGACCAAAGTGAACACTTACTATCTCCTGGCTTTAAGAACGACCATAGAAATCTGTATCCTACAGAATCATTATAATGTTTATTGATGTTTTTGTTTCCTCTGTTTTTCTGGCAGCTATCGAACAGGAAAAGCAAAGTGAAAGCACAGCCTGAGCATAAAAATGGAAGATGCCACTGCTGTGTCTTCAGTGGGGTTTTGGCTTCTGAGTTGGGTTGTTTTGCTTTTTTTCCCCCATCCCATGTTTGTTGCTCACTTATTTTAGCAAACATCTGCTCATTTAATGTTCCCCAGGAAAGAAGTTTGTTTCATGTTTCTTGAACAAGATACTATGTATTTGTGTTTGTGTTCTTAAAACTGTAATTCCAAGTTCTGTATCAGCCCCATTACTTGCCAAAAAACCCCACAAAAACCTATCTGCATCAAAACTGTTTTCCTAAACCTCAAAATAAACAGGTGTCTTGTGATCAGCTGTCTCAGAGCCTTGCAGAAATTGGGTTTACACTGCAACTCTTACTAGCATCCCTCTCACTTTGTGTTGCCACAGTGTCTAGAGGTTGGCAATACCCCTGGCACCCACAGGAGCCCTGGCTGGCACCCAGCCCCCATCCGCCAGCCCATACACCTGCAGCCTGCAGAACCCCATAGACACAGACATTTCTGTGAAAAATCAATGGCTGGGCTGAGGAAATGCTCAAATTAACATTCCAGATGCAGCACCCTCTCCACAGCTCTTTTTTTGCTCTCTCTAGCCTACCAAGATCCAATCTTGGTGCAACTGCAGCACACACAGCCTTTGGCCCATCCAATATCAAGCAATATAGGAACAAGGAAATACAGGAGAAAGAAACTTTATTATTGCACTGATTTTCTGGGATGAGAAAAAGACCTTCAGCAGCACGGGGGTGTAAGACACAAACCTTCAAAGCAAGCAAGGACTCTCTAAATCTCCATTATTGGCAGTGCAATAATATCCCCACTGGTCTGCGGAGGGCTCAGCAAAAATAGGCTCCAGTACCAGCTCAGGGGACTCTCAATTACATGGTACCACATTATGTCTGGAATTAATTTGCAAACATATTAGAAAAACAAGTACTTACTCTCGGAAGATAAACTGCCATCTCTGGAGCTTTGGTTTGATCCTACTTGTGCTGTAAAATAGGAATAACTCTGTGTACTTCAGCATAAGGTGAAGCAGAAACTGTTCTACAGGCTTCAGAAGACAGAAACATATGGCTGGGGTGGTGGTTAGAAAGCTCTTGTTTACTTGAGGTTTGCTTGACACTTGATTTAATGTGAATAGTCAGAACCGCAACTAAACAATTGTAGCAGAGCCACAAAACAGGTGACTTTCACTGGCAACGAAGACTAAACAGAGATGGCCAAGAGACCAAGGGAGAAGCAGTGATTTCAGTTAGAGCTTTGTTAATGCCGGTGGTATTCCCAGGGCCAAGGCTGATGTTCAATTACCACTCATCAGCTCGACTTTGCTGTTGTTTTCTTTCCATGACCCATTTCTTTTTGCACATTCTCCTCTGAAGACCTCATTCGCTCTGGCACACGACTCCAAGGATTTTGGGGTGGGTTGTTTTTTTTTTAGGGTCTGCCAGATTTGTTAACACTTTTATTTAAAGAGTGAAGAATGTGAAACGTTGAGCAACAAGGAAAACAATGCTCTTTTCTTTGTGAATCATGCCCTCCTCTCACCTTCAACACGGTGCTGGGGTCAAGGAGCCTTCGGTATTATTTAAATATCTACTTTGATCACTCTTTAAGAGACAGCATTTGGAGCAAGAACACCTACCAGAAACTCACACACCTAATACCCCTTACTTTTCCACAGGATGATTTTTAAGCACCATATTGCACTTGGCGGGTAAGCCCACAGACTAGACTTTCTCCTTGGTTTTGCCAGGAAACAGCACTTTGTTCCACGTGACAATCTCCCTCCTCCTCTGCCAATTCAGAGCATCTGCCAGCTCCCTGAGCACAACACGCTGTAAATCACCTCAAACCTCTTTGGAATGACTGACACAGTGCCTGGGCCCCCAAGTTCTCCCAGAAACTCAAGGTCTGGGCTGTGTCCTCAAGCACTTGGCAGGACGAAGAGAGGGGAGGTCTTGCTGGAGCAAGAAAACAACAGAAAGATTCTCCTCTCATGTTTGCACAGATACAGAGGATTAGCAGCGTGACTCTAAGGAGCAGTGCAAGAGGTCAAAGCACTGTCTACAGCCCTGGAGATTTGTCCGAGCTCTTGGCTTGAAGCTCTTCCTGCAGGGCTCACTGCCCCTGTGAAACCTCCTCCTGATTTAGCTGTCTGCATTTAAAGCCTGACACCATAAAGTCTCAGGGCTCTGTGTCTCACCCCACCGAGAAGACTGCGTAGGCAAGAAACGCTTCAGCCAAGCTCCCCAGCCCTGGATTCTGACTGCACAAGCTGTTGAGCCACAACAGAGTACACAGCAGCTGCACACCAGGAAAAACTCCTCAAGGTTAAAAGCTAGGTCTTCCCGCCCTTAAGCCACCTGCCTCAGGTGGGACACAGCTTTAGGGAAGCATTTGGAGACTTTTCTTCACCCTTAGCAGTTAAGAGAGGCTTAAAGGCATTTAGATAGAGCACCCCAAGTGGAGAAGCGTCCCTCTCTGCCGCTGTATGAAACCACATCAGCCCAGGAAACAGATCACAAGATCAAAATTTGTCAAGAGCAGGGACAAGTCTAGCTCTGTTATCTTAACCAAATAACATTACAGCCCTTATCTGCAGGGCAAGCTGGGGACACAGACCAGGAACTGCTCATCGTTTAAGGCCAAGCAGTGAATTTTCATCACTCTACTCATTACCACTAAGGAAATATTTGCTCCTGCCATTGGAAGGGAGCTACAAGACAAGCCAAACCAAACACCTTGCCCACACCTAGAAAACACCTTCAGGATGTGATGGTGCTCCTGACCTTCACTCCCTGGAAGAGCATCCTCCAGCGCTGAGGCTCACCAACCAACGCCCACTCCAAGAACTACAACTCTTCCCCTACCTCCATGCTGATGGGCAACCAAGCTGTAGAGAACCACATCAGCAAACCTAACCACCTTCAGGTGGGAAGCTTAAATATCTTTGCCAATTAGCAACAGCCTTTGTTGTTTTGATCGTTTACATAACAAGATGTTACCTTGCAACACCTCCAAAAGAAAAACACCTTCGATGCTAATCCAGTTACAGCAAAAAAAAAAAAAAGCATTATATGCAGATAAACACCCACCTTCTTGGCATCGCCATGAAGCCAGCCTTGTGCCCTGTGTCCCAGAGATAGGGTCAGCCCTCTCAGGATTCTGGCTGAGCCCTCCTGCCCCTCCAAGTCACCTCCAATTTCTCTGCACAGTCACAACAAGCCCTGGCTGAGCAGAGGAAATCTGGGCTCCTGTCGTTATTATACAGAAGTCAGCTGATTTAATAAACCTTGTTAGGCAGGTGTTTGATAACAGGGAAAGCCAGGGAGGACAAACCCTGAACCTAGCTCTCCTAAGAAAAGGGCCCATGTGTGTCGGGCCCATCTTGGTTGGTGCCCAGCTAAGACCCCCCAGAGATCCCACTGACCCCAGCTCAGATACCACAGACCAAGACCCAAAGTACAAGCGTTTTGAGTTTTTTCCAAATAAGTTTGAGGATCCTCTTTTACTTGGGTCATTAGCCCTGTAGCTGCTGAGACATCTCACAGCAAATCTTTAGGCCCAGCTCTGCACCGATGAGGGCAGTCAGCTCTCATGAAAGGTCAAGGCTGGAGAAGTCTTGGCTTTGGGAAAACACCTTTGTTGTGTTTCTGCTCTGCTGGTGGTGGTGCTTTTGATGCAGCAGAGGCCTCTCCTTAAAGAACAGGGAAACAAGGGGGAAATGTGAGGGAACACAAGCTCAGTGAGATCAGGGGTCTGAGCCGCAGGGGAAAGAGGAGGTTGGGGGGCTGGGAGCATGGCCAGGGAGGTGCCCACTCCAGCAGAATCCTGAGGCAGAAGAAGCCAGGATGACTTTCATGCCTCTGCCCAGCTCCCCCTTTCTTTCTCCAAAAAACACAGGGTGAAAACAACAGTCTTTTAAAGAGCACTAACCTTCTGGTGCCAAGCTGGGGGAGCCTCCCACACCGCACACGGGCAAACAAAGCTGCTGTGTCCTCTCGGGCAGCGGCAGGCGGTCCC